TTCAAACATAATTAATTTCAAAATCAATTTAATTCAATCACCAATCAAATCATGTAAAACATGTTACTCAAACCAATTACTTTCAAAGGTATCTAGCCACCTAAACGTACCTTGATCCTTGCTAGAAAAACCACACAAAAAGAACCTCAAGAACCTTGATTGAACACACCCTACAAATAAATATAACCTTAATCAATATAACGTTCACGTACAAATAATTAAATTAAAACCTCCCAACTATATGTACATGAGCCTTTCAACATAAATATTATTAAAAATCTGATTTTATATAATTAAAACTACTCATAATAATTATTTATAAATCCCCCATAATAATAATAATAATAATAATAATAATAATAATAATAATAATAATAATAATAATAATAATAATAATAATAATAGTTGAATAAGAGAAGAGAATAAGAAAATATAAGAAACCAAGGAAAAGAGAAGAATTGGATTTGCGTTGGAAAGAATAGGCAGAACTTGCAGAGGCTATAACTCCTTCGATATAACTCTGAATTGGGTGATTCTTGAGCCTAACCTCAAGGATGTTTTGAGAGGAACAATATTCTGTGAAACGTAAATACCCCAAAACTGACTAAAAATGCCCGAAAATTGGCTTCAAAGATAAGTGGGATGATTTGTGTAAAAAGAGGAGAAGAAAAGTAGAGAATTGGTGTGAATAAGTGGGAAGAATTAAGGTTTATTTATAGTGTTGATGGTGTATAAAGGATAGAGTTTAAGGTGTGATATGATTACCAAAAAATGTGATAAGTTTTTGGGGTTGTTAAGGTACTTGAATCAAATTAAGTCTAGATTAATAGTTGGGTTAAAAGATAAGAAAATTTAAATGGATATACATATGGTTAGGAGAAGAAAGATATAAACAAAATGAGATAATGAAGAAGAAAATTAGAGTTTAATTTAAAATATAATAATTAACAAACTAAAGTGATAACAATCACTCTTCAAAACATGATCAAATCACGTTTCACAATTATTTATTTATTTTTATTTATTTATTTATTTTAATATAAAAACGAAAATAGTAATAAAATAATTGAATAAATAAATATTTTAGATAATATAAAATTAGTTAAATACATAATGTATATTAGATATTTCTCTTGAAATAGTTAGTATAATAAAATATGGACCGACCTTAAAATAATTGAACCTATATTATCAATTTAGAAATCCAAAAATAATTAATTATTCAAATGATTAAATACTTATATTTGGCGCCAAAATTCAAATATTATTTTGGCCCCAAATTATGAATTTACTAAAATAACCTTTTTATAAAATAATTCCTAATTAATTAATTATAAAATACGTATGAAAATACGGAGTATTACAATTGGTGGTTCAGGAGAGGGGCCGTTGCGACGCCGGCGCCGGAGGTTTGGGTGACCGGAGCCACTAGGCTGGGGTGTCAGGGGTGGCAAGAAGGCTTGGGCTGGTGGTGGTATTTATATAACTATTTATTTTATTTATTTATTTTTAAACAAAAACATTTAACTTTTTTTAATTTTTTTTTTTTTACAAATTACAGGGCACATGTCAAGTAACTTGTTATAACAGGTTATATGACTGGTTGAGACCATTTTTAGCGGATTAGGTATAACGGTTGGATTATTTAAAAATAATCAATAAGTGGGATTATTTTGATAAGCCAAAGGTCGGATTATTCCAGACAATTTTTCCACACACACACACACACACACACACACACACACACACACACACACACACACACACACACACACACACACACACACACACACACACACACACACACACACACACACACACACACACACACACACACACACACACACACACACACACACACACACACACACATATATATATATATATATAAGTCAACACAACAATCATATTAGCTAACATATGAAACATATAAGCCAATAAGTAAAACATATAAGCCAATAAGTAAAACATATCAGCCAAGCCATCCGCACGGAAATTTGCTTGCGGGCATCCGCATGCGATACCCTCTCATATGATAATGATGTAATATTTGTGAAAATTCATAAAATAAAAATTATATTTCCCCGTTCCATAATTTCGTGTCTGCATTCTTATTTTAGCGTCCCAAAATATTGTGCATTCTAAAAAAAGCCCATAATCATTACTTAATTTTTATCTTTCCCATACAAAATATAAATATATCCAAAAAAAATTTCACTTACTTTATCTCTTTTCAATACAATATTCTCTAGCATACAATATTCTCTGCCTTTTATATTTCCAATAAAATATTCTCCTTAATTACCGTGGTTTTAGAGAAATAGGCACAAAATAATACTCCCTCCGTTTTTAAATACTTGCTCCACTTTCCTTTTCCGGCCGTTTTCAAATACTTGCTCCATTTCCTTTTATGGAAAGCTTTTACGCTATTTAATTCATTTCTCACACTTATTGGACCCAACATAATACTCTCTCTTCTCCTATTCTTCCACTATTTTTGTTTTTTTACAATTTTTTATTTTCTCAAGTACCCCACTATCTCCATATTTTATTACTTTCTCTAAATTTTACTAAAACTCTGCGCATGAAGAAATGAAGCAAGTATTTAAAAACGGATGGAGTAGTACAAATGGAGTAATAATATTAAGACAAGGGGGAAAGTATTTCGTATAGAAAGTGTAAGTATTTCATGAAATCAATAGGAGTATGTAAAATAAAAATAAAAATAAAAATAAAAATAAAAATAAAAGATAGTTGAGAATCTTGAGATTGAATATCGTCACACATCCCTTATCATTCCTCTTTTCCCGCTTTTTTCATTGCCACGTTAGGTGAGCAACATGGGGCCTTGTTTTCCACCATATCATCTTTTCAAGAAATTTGTCTTAACTATTGCTTTTGCTTTTCTTTTTTCTCAATAAAAAAAATTAAAAAGAATAAAAAGAAAAAAAAATAAAAAAAAAATCGCTTTTTATGCAATTTTACAGAAAAAATAAAAATAAAAAAGAAAAATGTTATACATACCCCTTAGGGTTACATAAAAGCATTAAATTTATACTTAAAATCGTAGAATGTTAAGAAATAATCAAAATATAAACACTAATTACTCTGATTTACGCGTGTTTTTGTCATAAATTCCCAAACTTTATACAAATTCCAAAAGTATATTTAATGCTTATATATAACCCTTACGGGTACATATTACATTACCCAAATAAAAATAAAAAGGAAAAAATAATCTTGATCAGCTAACCCAAAGGGTTATTAACCCTTTTAAGATTGATTTTTCATGGTCAAGAATACATTGAAATATTAATATTATGCTAATTCTCATTCTAATTTATTACACATATATTATTATTTTATTCTATTGTGTCTAGGAGGGTTTACAAACCTTAGGACCACTCAAACATTTTTCGAAAAGAAGAGTATCTTTCAATCACAAAATTGAAAGTTCAATCCCTATTAATGACAATTTGGGGGGTAGGATACCTTACCCCCTCCCCCACTCTTCCCGGGCCAGGTTAACCCATGAGGGGTTCTAGCCCCCTAAAGCTCTTCAACTTACTTATATTAAAATAATAATAGTAATAAAAGGTTTATATAATCTTGCATTACAGTATCTTTGAACTGCCAACATCTTAATGAATTGTGAAAATTCTTAAAATTTGAAAACATACATTCTTATTTATTTAATAATTGTAAAAAATAACAATAACAATATAGTCAAGTGTTTGAACAATAAGAAGTATTTATTTAACATAAAATGGAGTATATAATTATATATTGTTGCTTATTTCCCCAATTAAAGTAGTTATGTTTAGCGATAGTGTTTTAGGTATTGAATAATGTTTTTTTTTTTTTTTTTTTTAAACAGAGTCAAAACACTATATATACTACTCCCTCCATTTTTAAATAATTGTTTTTACTTTATATTTTCCGCCATTTTTAAATACTTGCCCAATTTCCTTATTTGGAAAGCTTTTACAAAATTTAATTCATTTTTTACACCTAATGCATCCAATATAATAATATTATATTAATTTCATATTATCTCTTCTCTAATTCTATCAACCGTTTCTTTTTATAATTTTTTATTATTTCAACTACCTCACTTCCTTCATTTTTTTTGGTGTTTAGATAGCCACAAGGGCAAGGGTGAGAATCGATCACAGGATCTCTTGGAACCGAGAGGGAAGTTCTAACCACTTGAGCTATCCCTCACTCTCACTACCTTCACATTTTACTACTTTCTCTAATTTTTCCTAAAACTCCACGGATGGAGAAATGGAATAATTAAGTATTTAAAAATGAAGTGATTATAATGAAAAGAAAAGAAAAAGGTTTTGCAAAGCAGCAATTAATGTAATGGTAAGGCCAATATTTTTTCTATGCTAAAATTTATTTTTATTGAATTTAAATTATTTTTATTTTACTTAAATTATTTTTACTAATTTCCTATTATATTCGTTTTTTAAAATTATCGACTTTTTACTGATTTAAAATTAGCTTTTTTTAAACTTAACGGTTTTTGTTTTTATTTATTTTTTTTTTTTTTTTTTTGGTGTTGAACTAAGGGCTTGTTCTCTTTAGCTTTTTTTTAATTTATTTCAGTTCCTAATTTCCTTCTCTCATAAAATATTCAGTTCAATTTAGTTTAGTTCAATTTAGCTTAGTTCATTAAATAAAAACATGCACTAATATAATTTATTTTTGTACAAAGTTGAAATATTTTAAATCAATTTATTGATTATTACTTTGTATTTTAAGTTTAAATTAAGAATTCATGACAAAAACACACGTAAATCAATATAATTAGTGTTTATATTTTCATGATTTTTAAACTTTATACAATTTTTAAGTGCATATTTAATGCTTATATGTAGCCCTGGAAGGCTATGTATAACATTTTCCTTCAATTATTCATCAAATTTAATTTAATTAAAAAAACCATAAACTGTGAGAACAAAAAAAAAAAAAAAAAAAAAAAAAAATTATGAATGAAACTTGATTAATGCTGGAAAAAAACCAAAATAGACATGTTAATTTTGTACAGCATCACATCTAATTGGTTGACCATGTAAAACAAATTCTAACTCTGTACTAATTTGTACCTATTTGCTACTAGTAGGAGAACAACCCAATATTAAGGGTGAAGAAGGTGTCACTGATTTTGTTTTGCAATTCTTATTATTAACATTAACAGATTCCGAAGGCGGCGAAGATGATAAAGAAGATGATGAATTAGATGATGTATTATTGAACCTCTTTGATGAGCTGCTCTCTGTGTTCTTGTTCACTTGTTCATTCCCGTTTTTTTCTTGTCTACGATGCTTCTGTTGCTGGATTCTCGTCGTTGTTATACTCACCGGAATCACACAATTGCATACAATTCCTGTGCATTCAGGAATCAATTAAGATTGATTATATAAATTAATCCTGAACGTCAACCATCAGTTTAAAATTTTGATTGAATTGGTCCTCTTTCAAATTATACTGAAAATATGATAAACTTAGATTTCAAATTTACCTATTCGAGCGAGGCGATTAACCCAAGTTGGGATATGATTTCCTGTAAGCTTAATGCAAGCATCATTGCAAAAATGGTTACAATTCTTGGTAATAAGATTATAAGCATTCCCTTTATACTCCTTTGAGAATTCCTCCATCACTTTCCTTACTTCCTCTGCTCCTAACTCTGTCCATCCTATTAGTATCGACTTTCTAAATATAAATCCTTCGCATTTCTTCGGCTCCCCCTCGAAAATCCCCGTAGAGGGGTACTCGTGCGCTCCAAATGCGTACTCGACTCCGTGCACTGCAACAATAACAATTAGGCACGTCTTGCAGGTGTCTGCATCATATTTACGAGTCATAAAACCAAATGATTAAATAAAAACAAGGTCGATAAAGGACTACCTTGTACACCCGAGTGGTACACCCCTAGGCCGAACCAATAAGCATATCCATTAATCGGAGTAATGTCGTAGACATTGAGGTAGACTGGAATCGAACCACCAACATCAACACAAGTTTTTTTCCTACACAACAACATTTTTAATTTGATGAATCTCAATACTAGCATTACTAGTCGCACACTACAACTTCTAGTATTAGTAATAGAGTATATTAAGAATGAAGAGAATATTGGATTAATTGAAATTCTTTTGGGGATCCCACCGGCGGCATGTAGTAGCCGCGCACAGGCATTGATTCAAGTGCTTTTTTTTTTTTTTTTTTCTTCTTACTTTTGGGTGATTAGAATAAAATATTTGGGGTTTAGTACTAGTTTTTTGGGTGGATTATTGGATCTATGAATATATATATTTTTAATTAAACTATGGTGGGGATTAAAATAGAAAATTAAAATTATGTGTAGGGTTGGTAACAGCTTTTTTAGCTGTCTTGATCTTGAATTTTGTTTTAAAATTTAAAAATTTGAGTTGCTATTTTCCACTTTTTTATGAGACAAAAGTAACGTACACTCATAATGATGGTCCAGTGGGGATACTAATATTAAAGATTAATTTTACACAACTATTGATACATTCTTTCTAACTTTCTATATTAATGCGTTAATGTTAAGATAATATTAGGAAATATTGTATAATATCTTTAGATTTTCTAGTTATGTTAATATTTTTTCTTATTCCTAATTATGTTAGGGTTAGGAATATCTTATGTAACTATATATATTCTTAAGTGGTGAATGAGAAAGTTAAGCGTTTCTATTCAATTTGTCATGGTATCAAGAGTTTAGGTTAAGAAATTTTTTTTGAGGAAAACACAGAGGGTTGTGAGTGATGGCCAAGGATGATGATGTTCCGCCACCACCACCACCGGTGGACCTAGAATATTCTCTAGGGTCAAGCGATCATCCGGGTGTGGTTATTACTCCGGTGAAATTGAAAGGGTTATGATGAGTGGGCTAAAGCAATACGTCGTTCAATGATTGCAAAATTCAAGTTTGGTTTTGTTGATGGTTATATATTAGAGCCGACAGATGATTTAAAGAAGAAGCATTGGGTGGCTGTGAATTCTATGCTTGTGTCGTGGATTACTAATACCCTTGATGATGGCTTGCGTTCTCAAATTGAGGATTTTGATATTGCAAGTGCCTTGTGGATTCACCTTAAACAAAGGTAATGTGTAGTAAGCGGTACTCGAATTTGTCAACTTAAACAATCTTTAGGGGAGTGTAAGCAAACCCCTTCCGAGTTAGTGACGGACTATTTTGGTAGATTATCCAAAATTTGGAAGGAATTGGTGTAATACTGTCGTGTCCCGAAGTGTTCTTGTGGTGGTTGCAAGTGTAACATTGCTCGGCAAGTTACAAAAATTTGAGAGGAGGATTATCTCCATTATTTTTTGATGGGTCTTGATGATCCGTATGAAGCAATTTGGGCACAATTACTAGCACAATCGCCTTTGCCTTTAGTTGATAGTGCTTACCAAACGGTGATCAATACGGAGAGATTACGTGTTCGAGATAGCAAACTGAAGGAGAACGTTATGGCGTTCAAGGTGGATTCCCGTACAAGGAGTGATACGAATGATGGAGATCGACCGTTTTGTACTCATTGTAATCGTATGGGACATGAGAAGAAAGGTTGCTATCAAATTATTGGCTTTCCGCCCGGTTGGGATGAGAATCGGAAAGGCGGTAGAGGCCGTGGAAGAGGAGGCTCCAACAATCAAGGAGGTAATGGTGGTCGTGGCAGTGGGGGGAGCGTGGTTCATCAAACGCCCCTGCTGCAGCTTGTGCTAATGTTGTGCAAGGTGGATCGTCTCAGAATGCAGGCAATTCATCTTCTTTGGCAAGTTCTATACAAGGACTTACGGTTGTGTCGTCGGAGCAAGCACAACAAATAATAGATATTCTATCGAAACCCAAGGCACGTTTGGAAGGTAATACAAGCGGCTTATGGATTGTGGATACAGGAGCCTCTAACCATGTTACTAATGACATATCAATCATGAAAAATATTAAAACGATACAAAATTGTCCGGTTGGTTTACCGGATGGTCAAACGGTGAATGCGAATCAATTGGGTTCGGTCACTTTAGATGGTGGTTTGGTGATTGATAATGTTTTATTTGTACCTTACTTGAATTGTAACTTGATTTCCGTTAATCAACTGAGTGATGAGTTGCATTGTAATGTACAATTTACTAACAAAATTTGTGTTATTCAGGACCAGTCGACGAGGACGGTGATTGGTGTGGGTGAACGACGAGATGGACTTTATTTTTTCCATGGTGTGCCGCAAGTGAAGGTGCTAGCAGTGGATTGTGTGGTGGATCTTTGGCATCAACGAGTGGGACATCCGTCGGAGAAGATTTTAAAGTTATTTCCCACTGTGAGTAACTCACTAGGAAGAATAATACTGTGTGTGATGTATGCCCTCGGGCAAAACAATCTAGAGATAGTTTTCCTATTAGTGAGAATAATGCTAGTGGTTTGTTTGATTTAGTTCATATTGATTTGTGGGGTCCTTACAAGATAGCATCGTCTTGTGGTTCGAAATTATTTTTGACAATAGTGGATGATTTTTCTAGAGGTGTTTGGATTTATTTAATTCGCAATAAAATTGATGTTGAGTTTACTTTTCTCAATTTTATTGCTTTGATAAAACGCCAATTTGGTAGAGATATTAAGGTGGTTAGGAGTGACAATGGTACAGAGTTTAATCACCTTAAAGAGTATTTTACTAGCAATGGTATTGTCTTTGAGTCCTCTTGTGTTGGTACACCTCAACAAAACGGGAGAGTGGAAAGAAAACATCAACATATTTTAAATGTGGCTAGAGCATTCAGATTTCAAGGTAGATTACCTATTAAATTTTGGGGGGAGTGTGTATTAACGGCTTGTTATTATTTGATTAATCGTACTCCGAGTCCTCTGCTTAAAAATAAAACTCCATATGAGATGTTGTTTGGTAAAATCCCGTCTTATGAGTCTATTCGGGTTTTTGGGTGTTTGTGTTATGCATATAATCAACGGAGTAAAGGTGACAAATTTGATTCTCGAAGTCGAAAATGTGTGTTTCTTGGTTATCCATTTGGAAAAAAAGGGTGACAATTGTTTGACTTAGAGACTCGAGAATTTCTTGTGTCTAGAGATGTTAAATTTCATGAACGGGTTTTTCCGTTTGGGGAGGAAAAGAGTACGAATTCGACAGCGTGTGAGGTAAATGGTGAGCTCGATTTTTTTGCAAGTGATGATGGGATTGAAGAGTGGCAAATGGGTACATATTTTGGGGTGCATAAGGAGAGTGAGCAGGCTGTTGTAACACCAGAGCAAGTTGCTGGGCAGCAGCAACTACGTGGCCAAGCCACTGCCCAGCCAGTTGCAGAGGGCGTTGCTCAGCAGCTCGAGGCAGACCACTCCACGGGCAGGCCGCAGGGGATGGCAGCAGGCCGCAGGGTGGCTACGGAGGCGCCTGTACAGCAGCTCGAGGCAGACCACTCCGCGGGCAGGCCGCGGGGTGGCTGCGGAGGCTCCTGTACAGCAACCCGTGGCTGGGAATGAAGAGAATAGGAGAGTAGAGATCTAGATCGGGGCAAACGTGTAAAATTTCCTTCGACAAAGCTTCGAGATTGTGTCACACATACCATTCGGTAAAATAAAGTCTCGTCCGGGTCATCCGCAGAATCATCTTCCTCAGGTACTCTCTATCCTATAACATATTTTGTTAATTATGATCGGTTTTCCAAAAAACATAGAAAATTATATTGCTGCAGTAACAGAGGCACACATATCGAGGTCTTTCAAGGAAGCAATGCAACATGAAGGTTGGAGAGAAGCTATGGCCTTAGAAATAAAGGCTCTCGAAGATCAAGGCACTTGGACCTTGGAGAATCTTCCAGTGGGAAAGAAAGCACTTGGAAGCAAGTGGGTTTACACTGAGAAGAGAGATGAAGCTGGTAACTTGTTACGATTAAAAGCAAGACTTGTGGTGTTTGGTAATCATCAGGAAGAAAGGATTGATTACAATGAATTATTTGCGCCAGTGGCAAAAATGTCTACGGTACGTACTTTCTTAGTAGTGGCAGCGATTAAAAATTGGGATGTACATCAAATGGATGTACATAATGCTTTCTTGCACGATGATTTGGAGGAGGAGATTTATATGAAAGTACCACCGGGATTTCAAAAAGGCAATTCAGATAAGGTCTGTAAGATGAATAAGTCCTTATATGGATTGAAGCAAGCTCCTAGATGTTGGTTTGAAAAATTGTCTACAGCCTTGAAGAAATATGGATTTAAATAGTCGTATTCCGACTATTCTTTATTCACTCTTTCGAAAGGTGGAATGCAGTTTAGTGTCTTGGTTTATGTAGATGATATGATAATAGCAGGAAATAATACAATTGCATTGGAGAGTTTTAAAGCATACTTGTGTAAATGTTTTTAAATGAAAGATCTGGGCGCCGTGAAATATTTTTTGGGGCTTGAAGTGGCACGTAGTAAACATGGTTTCTATGTGTGCCAACGTAAGTATGCTTTAGATATTATTTCTGAGACAGGGTTACTAGGAGCAAAGCCGACAGACTTTCCGATGGTGCGAAATCACAAACTTGCTTTAGCAGAGGGGAAAGAGTTCGCAGATGGTGAACGATATAGGCGATTGATTGGTCGCCTTATATATTTGGTAGTCACAAGGCCGGATTTGGCTTATTCGGTGCATATTTTGTCACAATTTATGCAATGTCCGAAAGAGGAATATTGGGAGGCGGCATTGAGAGTAGTTAGATACTTGAAGAAATGTCTGGGTCAAGGCATTCTTTTGAGATCAGATAGTGCAATACAATTGGAAGGATGGTGTGATTCAGGTTGGGCGAGTTGTCCTTTGACTCGTAGGTCGTTGACCGGTTGGTTTGTATTGCTTGGGTTGTCACCTGTCCTGGAAGACTAAAAAGCAACCAACAGTTTCTACAAGTTCCACAGAGGCCGAGTATCGGGCAATGACAGGGTTGCAATGTGAGTTCAAGCACTTGAAACAAATACTCCGGTCTTTGGGTGTAGAACGTAAACAAGGTATGAACATGTATTGTGATAGTCAATCGGCTCTCCACATTGCTAATAATCCGGTGTTCCATGAGAGGACAAAACACATTGAGGTAGATTGTCATTTTATTAGGGATGCCATTAAAGAAGGTGAGATTAAGCCATCGTATGTTTCCACGAAGATTCAGTTGGCGGATATTTTTACAAAAGCGTTAGGAAAGGCGCAATTTGAATTCTTACTTGGTAAGATGGGCATTCGAGATCTGCATGCTCCATCTTGAGGGGGGATGTTAAGATAATATTAGGAAATATTGTATAATATCTTTAGATTTCCTAGTTATGTTGATATTTTATCTTATTCCTAATTATGTTAGGGTTAGGAATATCTTATGTAACTATATATATTCTTAAGTGGTGAATGAGAAAGTCAAGCGTTTCTATTCAATTTGTCACTTACAATTATATTGATATGCTATATGTAATGGCTTTTTTTAAATTATTACTAGCATATACAATTATACACCATTGCAATTTATAGTCATAGAATATTGGATGATTCACAAATTAAGTGCACTATTAGTCTATTAATATTTTTTGGTTTTTGACGAGCAATATAATTTTAATAAAATATTCTAACATAATAGAAATAGATACTTGGCGAAAATATGAATTGGCCACCAGTTCAAAACCCCCCAATGCCACCGGTTTTGAACCGGTGGTCATTTGGGGGTGGCAATACTCCGAAGCAAGGCCACCGGTTCAAAACCGGTGGCAAAAAGAGGTATTGCCACCGGTTAACCGGTGGCAATTATCGTTTCGCGCTTTTATTTTGGGTATTAATTATTTTTGCCACCGGTTTATACATTTTTTTTTTGTCTTTTTCAAAAAGAAATATAACAGAACAATTCAGTAAAAAAAATTACAAACATCAAAATATAAATGAAACAATATCAATCTATATAATCGAAATTTTATTTACAATATAAATCAATAAAATTGATCAATTACAACATATAAATAAAAAAAAAATTACAGTATAAATAAAAAAAAAGTTACAGCATCAAAATAAATCACAAAAAACCCCATACAACATCAAAAACAATATTCCTGCATCATGATTCTTATTTAAGATCTAAATCAATATACCCGCATCAATCAAAACAAAAAAATAAATCGACTAATATACATAAGCTGCGAAAAAAAAAACTCAGAACACTATGCATGTATCTATAAATCGAGCATGTACCCATAAATTAATTAAAATCATTAAAAAAACCCAGAAAAAGCATGTAGCCATAATTAAAATCGAATTAAACCCATAAGAAGATCGAATAGAAATCGAATTAAAATCGATTTTAAAACTCGGAAAATTCGATTTAAAAAACCCAGAAAAATTCGATTTAAAAACCAGAAAAACCTAGAAGAAATCGGATAAAATTGATTAAAATCACATAAAAATCGAATTAAAATCGATTTTAAAACTCAAAACTTCGATTTAAAAACCCAGAAAAGTTCTAATAAAAAAACCCAGAAATAATCTAATAAAAGACCCAGAAAAATTCTAATAAAAAACCAAGAAGAAATCGAAGAAAATCGATTAAAATCACATAAAAACCGAAAAAAAATCGAATTTAAAACCCAAAACTTCGATTCAAAAACCCAGAAAAATTCTAATAAAAAATCCCGAAAAAATAGATTTAAAAACCTAGAAGAAATCGATTAAAATCGTTTAAAATCGAATTAAAGTCAAATAAAAATCGATTAAAATCAAACCCTAACCTCGATTAAAGTCGTTGTTGCTCATGCATGTGTTCGTGGTGTTATTGTTGCGGTGGTGGTCTTCAAGGTGGTGGAAAAATTGGTGGTGGTGTAGATCAAAGAAGATGAGAAAGAGAAGGAAGAGAGGGGAGAGAGGAGAGAGAAAGATAAGGAGGAGAGGATGAAGGAGAAGAGGGGAGAGGAAATCCGAGCTGAACGAGGAGAAAGAAAGAGAATGAGGGGAGGTGGGTGTGAAAACTGATCGAGGAGAGAGAAAGAGAATGAGGGGAGGTGGGTGTGAAACGGCTGATGGTGGGTGAAATTGTAGGGTTTGGGGTATTTAAAGGGCCGGTTTTTTTTTATATTAGTAAGCCACCGGTTTTGAACTGGTGGCAATAATATCCCCGCCCATTTTTCCCCTGTTTTTTGCCACCGGTTCTTAAAAACCGGTGGCAATTGAGCGGTGCCTTTTTACTTTTTTCTACTAGTGAGATATGAAAAAAAACTGTTTATTGGATATTATATGTAATTGCACAATTTAGATCATTGATATATTTATTCATCCAAGTGATTGATATATTGAAAATATGTAGCAAGACGTATCACTTTTTCTATTTATAAATAAGAACTTTCTCACCTTAAGATTTTAAATTATGGGCGTGTTCTACGTTTTATTTTTTATACAATAGAGTGGTTTAACTGTTTAACTTTAACATAATAAAATTCTCTACTAAGGTAAATAATAGTTTTACACTCTTTGACAGTGTAGTCATAGAGACATCTTTAATCAAACATTGTTATTAGTAGCTTTTAAGATAATATCACATGATTACATCCATTTTAAGTTCTAGTTAATCACACTTTTTGTTGCCCGCACATGTTACATGGACAAATAAGAGAGAGAAGCAGGTCTTTTTCCAGGGGCGGAACCAGGATTTAAACAAGGCGGGGACCAAAGAAGAACAAATACTAATAATACCGAAATCATATTATAATTACAACCAATATTCTCAAAAAGTTTCCACACTTAAACTTCTAAGAAATTATAGCAAAATTAAAGGAATATACTTAACAATAAACTTTTGAAAAATTCCGCATATAAACATACCTTTATAAACTTCATTTGAGCTGTGCTCGCCTCTCTTTCATCATGTAAAAGGTATCAATGATGGAATCTTCACTAAGTGTCTCTGCGATCTCCTTTTCAATATACACCACCAAGTAGTCTCTCAAAAAATTGTCTTCCATTTTACTTCGAAGGTTTGTTTTCACAATCTTCATTGCTGAAAAAGCTCTCTCACTTGTTGCGGTGGATGCAGGGAGAGTTAATACAAGGAGAATTAACCTATCAACAAGAGGATACAATTTATATTTCTCAGTAGTCACCAATCCTCTACACAAATCACCAAGAGTGGACAAGTTCTTCAACTCAAGATGAATAGGAATGTCACGCTTGTAGTGCTGCAATTCATAACTTAAATGTTCTTTCTCTTGATCTGAGAAGTCTTTAGGATAGAAGTCTCTAGCTAGCTTGCAAAGTAAATGGATAGAAGGAAAAAGTAAATAAACAGTAAATAAAAGTAAATAATATTTTTAAAAAATATGCTCTACGCTTTCTGACATGTTCCTGAAAAGTAAATGAATAGAAGGAAAAAGTAAATAAACAGTAAACTATAACTAAATAAACTATAACTAAAAGTAAACAATATTTTTAAAAAATATACTAATAAAAACTATTAGAGATATACTAAAAAGTAGATGACTCAAAGCATAAAGTAAATAAAAAAAATAAAAAAAAACTTGAAGAAACTAAAAAACATGAAGTTATGAGAATTAAGTAAAACTAATAATGAAAAGTTAATGACTGAATGCAAAAAGTAAATTTAAAACAACAATAAATTATACTACTAGATTAATAACAACAAGCAATATAACAACTATATGCAGAAAACAACTACATTGAATCCGTAAGTGTAAAACCATAAAATAGGAATTAAAAAACCAATATCGTAAAAATAAAACCCAAAATCAAACATTAAATTGTATAGAATAATTCAAAGAACAATTAATAAGAAAAAATTAAAAAAATTTACAATAAAACCCTAAATCGAAAAACTCAGCTCAAAATAAACAATGAAATCAAAATAAACAAATAAAATACAAATATAATTAGAAAATTACCTCAATGAATGAAAAAAACTGAAGAATACAATGTAATAGAGTATCAAAATCGAAAAATCTGGGCAAAAAAATTCGCAAAGTCGAAGAACTCAGATCCACGGCGGAGAAATCGATGTTAGAGAGAGAAAATGAGGACGCGTAGAGAGAGAAAATGAATGGAAGAGAGAGAGAGAAAGAAAGGAGGTCATTCTTTTTGGCAAAATTATCAAAATGCCATTAATAAAATGAAAAACGCGGGTAGGATGTCAGCCATTGGATCAAGCGCGATCAACGGTCCAGATGAATTCCTAGTTCCTATTCTATGCTTAGGTTCTCACATGATCCCATTATATATATATATATATATATATATATATATATATATATATATTACTTTGCAACATATTGCTTTTTACGTTTAATAATACATAACTTCAACCGTTAAAATTAATATTTAAAAATATACAAATTTTATAATGATTAAATTTAAAAAAATACACATTGAGATCTCTCTATCTCTCACGTCATCGTAAGTTATGCATTAACATATTACCTCCATTTCTTTACCTTTTATTTTGGGTTCTTCTACTAGTAACAATTTGAAACAAACTATATGGATGTTGTATTAAATTAATTTGTCTTTGGCAAATTTCATCATTAATCAAGTTTCATTCATTTACTGTGTGGATCATATTATTATCTCATGGTTAATGTTCTCTATATTGAAGTTTGATTTCATCACTAAAAGGCTTTCGAACCTCGAAATAAGCTCTTCAATTTGTTTTTATTTTTTTTCCATACCAATAACTAGTCGCTGCAATTAGGCAGATCAAATCGATTTAGGTCCAATTCTGAAAACTTTGCGGCAATTGGTAGTTTTTAGCTGTGAAATAATGGGTTGAAGTCCATTAGTAATGGATATTAGCTATTTAAGTAGTTGATGATTAGTACCAAAATCTGACCAATACCGAAAAATTTAAAAGAAAATGATCGTGCATGACTCAACTTGTTTGAACCTGATAATATAGTAACATTTGAAATTTACCTGAGACTCAATTAAACTAGAGAATTCAATCTCAAAACCAAACATGTCACAATTTGAACATGTCACAATTTGAAGATGACTTGACCAGAATATAACTTATAAATTATTGACTTGGGCCAAAACTTGGTTGGAATCCAAGAATGATCCAAATTCAATTTAACTCATTGAGATCTGAATTCAATCCAACCTATTACTATCTCACTTAAGTTCAACTCGATTAGATACTTGCTCGAGTCGAACCATAAAATGATACTCCAAGTAATAACCTAACTAGAACTTCACCTTATCCAAATATTACCCAACCTACAAAGTGACAATCACCAGACCCAAATTGATATGTACCTACCAACAATGACCCAACCTAAAGTTGATCCAACTCAAAACTAACTCACCCAAACAAGTATAAACATGAGCAAAGTAAGCTTGATTTGGATTGAGCCGACCTGAATTCGACTAAACCTAAACGTGAACCAAATCCAATAGGTTGCATGACCATACATGACTTAACCTAATCATGATTCAACCTGACCCAAACACTACAATAGAATCCATTAATTCAACATGACTAGACCGACCCAGATTGACCCGATCCAAACACTCGAATTAATAGCTCTAATTCTCAGTATTTTGCAGCAATTAAAAAAGGCTAAGTATATAGGAAGGGAGTGACATCATCACTAACTAGATTATTAAATAGTCATTGGTCAAGCAAATTTAGTACAAACCCAAATTAGTAATCTTGTTAATTAAGGCCCACTTATATTGTAATAGGTTTCTTACATATATATTATTGTGTCGTTAATTAATGACTTTAATGTCTAAGTAGCCATGTGATCAATGACTTCAACACTCTCCCTCCCAACTCTGATATACCATGTTATGTGAGGGGGAATGTTGAAGTATATCATATCAAAATAACACATGTAGTAAGTGTCCTATATTGAGAAAAGAAGTGAAGCATCTGATTTTGAGAAAAGAAGAGAAAGTTAAACACTTTATAAAGCTAATAGACTATTTCTCCTATTGCCATATGATTTTGAGAAGGAGCGACCCCCTTTGATCTTGTGATGTTGACTCTTTCTCTTAATTTAGGGGTGCAACCCAAACCCGTATTTAACACAATGGAATATTCGAATATGGTTTAATGTCTATTTTATAAACAGTTCACAAATAATTTCTCCATATCTATTATATCAAGTTAAATGTATTTATAACTTTTAATAATAGTGGGGGTATAAATAATTATTATAGTGGACTTAATGGGTGAATCATCTTATTTTTTAAGACGACTATACATGTAATGCTGGAGTTAGTAAACAAAAGTCATTTTATATATAAAATAATCTTGAATATTAGTATCCCCACTAGGTAATAGGGACCATTATGAGTGTATTAGAAGTTGGAGTTCAGTAAGCAACCTTTTTTTTTTTTTTTTTTTTTTTTTTTTTTTTTTTTTTTTTTTTGAAAGCAGGCAGCAAATTTCATTAAAATAGATCGTGAAGTTTTAGTAAGCAACTAATAATACTAGTATCGAGATTAATTTAGAAAAAATGAACTTGTGTAGGAAGAAAACTTGTGTTGATGTTGTTGGTTCGATTCCGGTTTACCTCAATGTTTACGATATTACTCCTATTATTAATAGTTATACGTATTGGCTCGGCCTTGGTGTCTACCACTCGGATGTACAAGGTAGTCCCTTATCGACCTTGTTTTTATTTAATTGTTTGATTTTGTACTTCGTAAATGTGATACACATACTCGTAAGAAGTATGTAATTGTTGTTGCAGTTCATGGATTCGAGTACTTATTTGGAGCACACATTTACCCGTCAACAGGGATATTCGAGGAGGATCCAAAGAGATGCAAAAGATTCAAATTAAGAAAGACAATATTGATAGGATGGACAGAGTTAGAGGCAGAGGAAGTGAAGAAAGTGATGAAGGAATTCTCAAAGGAGTATAAAGGGAATGCTTATAATCTTATTACAAAGAATTGTAACCATTTTAGCAATGATGTTTGCAAGAAGCTCACTGGGAATCATATTCCAACTTGGGTTAATCGCCTCGCTCGAATAGGTAAATTTTGAATAATCCAAGCAATTAAAGTTGACAAGATTGTGTTTAGGATATATACTAGTAGTATGAATGGTTTCTAAATACACAGGAATGGTATTTAACTGTGTGATTCCGGCGAGTATAACGACAACGAGGATCCAGCAACAGCAGACTCGTAGAAAAGAGAAAAGAGCCAAGGGAAGGATCAAGCAAACAAGAAAATAGAGAATTGCAAAACAAAATCAGTGACAACTTCTTCACCTTTGATATAGCAACAAACTAGTACATAGTTAGAGCTTGTTTTACAAGGTCAAGTAACTAGATGCGATGTTGTATAAGTTTAACTTGTTTATCTTGGCTACTTTCACAATTAATCAAGTTTTATTCATATACTGTTTTTACATCTGTGGATCATGTTATTATCTCATGGTTCATGCACTTTTTAATTTAAATTTGACTGAATCATAGAAAACCATTCAAACCTGTTAACAAGGACAGCTTGTTATATACATTCGGGTACACAGTGCACCCAAGAGTCTTTGTTTGCTCTTTGATGATAAAATGAACAATAATCATCGAAATGAGCAAACAATACCTTTGTGTGCACCACGTACCCAGGTGTATATAACAACTTCTTGTAAACTGGATCATCTTTCAATTTGACGTTTTAACTATACTCAAGTTCAATTTAATCAATATCAATATGTCCTTAGTTCCTTACGTACTCATCTTCTCAACAATGTAGTTCTGATAAGTCATCTATGATTTGATTTTAATTTATCTGTCTTAAAAATAAAAGTGACACAAGAACTGATCCAATGAGAAAACTAATACTCTGTAGTGACACAATATGAAAAATAGTGATGAGTTAGTGACCCAATAAGAAGGTAATAACTCGATAATAACTCTAATTTAAAATTGACCTTATTTGAAATTTTGAATATTGAATTTGATCAACCCAACCCAAATTTATCAACCCTGAAAAGGATCTAATTTGATCAACCCAACCCAAATTTTACCAAACCTGAAAAGGATCTAATTTGGATTTAACCCAATACTAAATCAACCTTATCATAATCAAACTAAAGCTCTGTTTTGATTGACTGAATTGAGCTGAATTGAATGAACTGAGTTGAAGTGAACTGAATTGAACTTATTAGAGCTGAACTGAACTGAACTAAATATTTTATAAGAGAAGAAAATTAAGAGCTAAACTGAACTGAACTGAATTTATTAAAGCTGAGCTGAACTTATTATAACTGAACTGAGCTGAACTGAAAATAATCGTATGTGAACAGGCCCTGAACTTAACCGAAGTGGAATCAACTCAGCCCAAAATCATGTGACCTGAAATTACCATGGTCAAACCCGATTGAACGTAATAAAATCAGTTTGAAGTTGATATGACTCGACAAACTTTGACCCAAAATTGATCCAATCCAAAAGAGTAACGTTGACCGAATAGACTCAACCCATTGTGGGTCAACTAAAGCTACACCTGGTTACCAAAATTAACACCCCTAAATAAAAATATACAATAGCTTATTGCACCTTTTTTTTTTGGAGGAAAATAGTTCATTGCACTTTGAGCTCCGTGGTTTAAAGCTTGTTACAAAATAGCCAAACCACCCGTCACAAAAAAAAATCAAAAAATAAAATAATAATAATGAAATAAAGAAATAGCCAAGCTTGTTCAATTATTACAATGTACTTAATTGATCATGGCGATGATTTGGGCTTTGAATTAAAGCCTGATGATACAAATTCTTGGCTGCTTTCTAGTGCAGCCAAGCTAGCTGCAACAGGAACTAGAGTAATGGGATCATGTGAGAACCTAAGCATAGAATAGGAACTAGGAACTCATCTGGACCGTTGATCGCGCTTGATCCAATGGCTGACATCCTACCCGCGTTTTTCATTTTAGTAATGGCATTTTGGAAATTTTGCCAAAAAGAATGACCTCCTTTCTTTCTCTCTCTCTTCCATTCATTTTCTCTCTCTACACGTCCTCATTTTCTCTCTCTAACATCGATTTCTCCGCCGTGGATTTGAGTTCTTCGACTTTGCGAATTTTTTTGCCTGGATTTTTCGATTTTGATACTCTATTACATTGTATTCTTCAGTTTTTTTCATTCATTCAGGTAATTTTCTAATTATATTTGTATTTTGTTTGTTTATTTTGATTTCATTGTTTATTTTGAGCTGAGTTTTTCGATTTAGGGTTTTATTGTAATTTTTTTTTAATTTTTTCTTATTAATTGTTCTTTGAATTATTCTATACAATTTACTGTTTGATTTTGGGTTTTATTTTTACGATATTGGTTTTTTTAATTTTTTTTTATGGTTTTACACTTACGGATTCAATGTAGTTGTTTTCTGCATATAGTTGTTATATTGCTTGTTGTTATTAATCTAGTAGCATAATTTATTGTTGTTTTAAATTTACTTTTTGCATTCAGTCATTAACTTTTCATTATTAGTTTTACTTAATTCTTATAACTTCATGTTTTTTAGTTTCTTCAAGTTTTTTTATTTTTTTTATTTACTTTATGCTTTGAGTCATCTACTTTTTAGTATATCTCTAATAGTTTTTATTAGTATATTTTTTAAAAATATTGTTTACTTTTAGTTATAGTTTACTGTTTATTTACTTTTTCCTTTTATTCATTTACTTTTCAGGAACATGTCAGAAAGCGTAGAGCATATTTTTAAAAAATATTGTTTACTTATAGTTATAGTTTATTTACTTTTATGTGTTGTTTATTTACTTTTTCCTTCTATCCATTTACTTTTCAGGAACATATCTGAAAGCATAGAACATTGTTCTTCTTCCGTCACGACTGAAGATAACAATGTAAGAACTTTTAAAATACCCACTCATCCTTTGCTTCCTAAAATATATTATAATTTTGGAGGTGATAAAGAGTATATGCCATTTCTGAAAACAAACCTTTTGTTGGAATGATATTTGTTACCCTTCAAGATGGTATTGCCTTTTATTACAAATATGCTAATGAGTGTGGATTTAAAGTCCGTTCTAGTACTATTAAATCACAAAAGAATAAGAATGATCCTACTGGTAAAGGAGTTACTATAATTAAATATTTATTATGTAGCAAAGAAGGGTATGTGACAAATAACAAGAAACCTGGTAAACAAGTTGAAGGTGCTTGTTTAAAGAGAAAGACTGTGAAGAGAGTTGGTTGTCTTGTTAAGATAAAATTTAGGTCTTGTACTGGTGGGAAGTATATGGTGTATTATTTTTATGAATATCATTCTCACCCTTTTTCTACACCTATTACTAGGCAGGATACTAAACATGAAGTTGGTTTAAATTTTCCTCATAAGAAGTTTATTTTTGACAACTCAAAGTTAAATATAGGGGCTGTTATGTCTTATAGGATCATGAAAGAACTTTGTTGTAACACCCCAATAATTCTCTCTTTAAAACCTGTGAATATCGTGAACAAAATCCAAGAGAATTACTAGCGTGCTACCGCCACGTGTTCAAACGTTAAGGCTTTATCAGAAATTAGCAGCGGAAAAACTAAATCAGTTATAAATAAATTTTAGAACCAATAACCAAAACCAAGTTAAATCTTACAACTTGGAACCATTAAGGCCCTTATTCAAAACCCCAGAAAAGTAGTAAATAAATAAAACCAGAGTTTAAATAAATTCAAAAGTAAGAAATAAAGTACACTGTGAATAGTAGTCAACACTCCACTCAAAATCCCACCACCTTGATGCAAGTCCAAACTATGTAAACACCTGTGATGAGTCTGCTCCCCAATTTACAAGTGTAAAGATTGGATCGTCACAGGGTCATTGAAAGGCAAAGGCCATGACCAAAGAAAGACATATAAAGCACGCAATCAGCAAAGCTGAGTACATACAAGCTGCGAAATAAATTAAGAAAATACCTAACATGCTACTAATAGTCAAGCATAAGCATCATTAAATACAGACTCAACTCATGACTCAATTATCAAATTTATTAAGACCTCACTAGTTGATATTAACTAATTCATTTATTATTTCATTGGATTTAGCAATAGACAAGGTTGTCCAACCCATGTCCCATTTGGAACATCAATAAAAGAAAAACCCCATGCCTCCTTTCGGAAACATCAATAAACATCCAACGACCACGGGCGCGACTCCGTGACCGTAGTTAGTATGAGATTTCACCTAACTCCTAGTTTTGAAAAATATTTGAAATAGGAGACTTGTAGATCAGACGACCTCGATAAAAGTACACGGCTAATACCCTATGTACCCCAACCCCTGATTGTCATTACTCCAGATGTGCACCATTCCAGAGTTTTATTGCTCATCCATCTTGCACTTTACGTGATTTACAGGTTTAGACTTAGTGATGCCTCATATGCATAACAATACAAACATTCTAAACACAATTCAATCAAACAAGGCAAGTTTCCAATTTCAATTCTTGATTTATTAGTGACAAACAACACTTATTATTTATTCCTTTACTACCTCGGTGTATAAACACCTTGAGTGCATAAGGCACCCCAAAACCTTAACTTCGTCTTATAAGACTTGAATTCTTCCTTTACTCATCCTGTTTGCATAACCATGAATGAATAATAAATTAATCTTTACACCAATCACATACCTTAGCCTTTAAGCACACCTTGCATAGTTAGAGCACAAATAATACTTGCAATATAAAATAGTGCACGTCATACGAAATTCACAATGTATAACCAAACAATTTAACCCTGTCAACCCTATACATGATACTAAGTTCTCGATCCGTCCTTAAACATGCACCTACAAGTAAGGTTTCGTAACTTGTACGTACCTTGAGCAAATGAATTGGTATGCCACTTTACTAACTAGAAATCACCTTCAATAAACTCCTCTCCTAAACCAAATAATAATATCTCAATCAATACCCAATCAATCAAATTTATAGCAATACTAACTTGCTTTTAAAACCTTCAAAATCCAAATAAAACAACACTTTAAAACCTCCCCTTTAGTTAAAATTAAAGGCTTATATATAGTTCTTTAAATTTTCTTCATGAAAACCTTAAAATATACTCTTATACATGAAATTACATCAAGTTAAAAGTCTAATAAAAATCTGAAAATTATTTTAAAACCCCTAATAATCTCCCTTTTTAATGGGTGATTAAACCCTCTTTATAAAACATCAAAAGTAGTACTTAGAAACTATTTCCAACACTTAAAAATTCAATATAAACATATATTTATGCTTAATTAACTTTAAACATAATTAATTTTATTAATCAAACTCAAGGATAATATTTTAAGTATAAAAAAAACTTCGTTAAAATCAAAAACTGCTCGAAAATCATATTTAGAGGCTGAATTTGGCCACGAGAGGGTGGTGCTCTCTTAAAATGTTGTTTCCACATGAAAAACACTACTTTTTCATCAAAATCGGATGAGTTCAGAACCTGATCGGGATTCAAATGGGATTAATATTAATGAACGGAAATCTTAAAATTAAAACACGAACTTAAGTGTTTAAAATAATCTGGAATTATGTTAAACTAATTAGTAGTTATAATCACCAAAATTTCAAAACATCATTACTATAAAAGCCCTAAATCAATTGTTCATAAAAACCCTAAAATCATGATTTTCAATAATTAAAAACCCTAGGTTATAAAATTCACAAAATCTGAAAATTATGACATTATAAAATCTGAAATTATAAAGTTTAATCATCAAAATAAAACTTGATACTAATTAAATTACTTTCAAACAATAAAATCATAATCCATAAATCAATAATTATAATTATACAAATTAATAAAACAAAGGAGAGAGAAAATAAGACTAACCTTTTTGTGTGGGAAATTTTTGGGGATTAATGGGATATTTATAAGAGAGAATGTTGTAGGGTAAGTAAGAAGATTGAGCCTCATAAAATTAATGGGCCAATTAGGTAAATGAAATGGACTAGGCTTTGTTTGTATTGAAATAAATTATAAAATGAAGGTTCATAAAATAATTTGTACCAAAATAATTTTTGACCCAAATTAATAATTTGAATACTTTGAAATTAAATTACGGAAAAATACAAATAAATATTATAAATAAAATTAAATTTCATTTATAACATATTTAAAAATACGGGGGATTACATTTGTGGTGGGTTTCAAAATGTCAGGGGCAGTAAAAATGATTTCAAAAATTTTTCTAGGGACTTGAAAGTTTATATCTCTAATGCTAATGGTGCAATGTTTGTTCAGAACCTTGAACAAAAAGTGAAAACCAGTAAAGGGGGTTATTATTTTGATTACTGTGTTGATGAAAGTAGGCATTTGACCCGTGTCTTTTGGGCTGATGCTATTGGTAGAAGAGATTATCAATTATTTGGGGACTCTTTATCTTTTGATTCTACCTATGATACAAATAAATATTCATTGGTTTTCTGTCCTTTTACTGGTGTTCGTTGATAATCACAAGAGATGCGTTACATTTTGTGCTGCTCTATTATCTAAACAAGACATAGATTCTTTTGTGTGGCTATTTCAAACTTTTTTGAAGTTTATGGGAAGAGAACCCTGTTGTATTATCACTGATCAAGATCCTGCAATGGGTATTGCCATAGAAAAGGTTTTTACCAAGACTAAACATAGGCTATGTATGTGGCACATAATGAGGAAGGTACCTGAAAAGGTTGGAATTTCTCTTTGTAATGAAACTGATTTCCTGAAAAAGCTAAGTGCAGTAGTTTGGGATAGAGAGATTGATCTTCATGTATTTGTTGATGGCTGGAATAGTGTTATGGAAGAGTTTAACCTTGTTGATCATGAGTGGTTTGCATACATGTTCAAGATTAAACATCTTTAGATTCCTGCATATTTTTGGGACCTATTTATGGGTGGGTTACTGCGTTCTACATCTAGGTCTGAAGGTGAAAAAAGTTTCTTTTGTAATTTTACAAACCCTCATGTGACCTGTGTTGAATTCTTTGTCCGTTACGAAACTGTTCTTGATGCTCAAAGGCATAAACATGATGAGTTGTATAGGCTTAATAAACTTGAGCCTCAATTGGTTACTAATTTACACTTGGAAAAGCATGCTGTTGTTGTTTATACTCGTTCCATATTTTATGATTTTCAAGAAGAATGCCAGGGAGCTTGTTTTTCAGGTGGTGTTGAAAGTTGTAGTTCTCTGTATGGAGATGGTGTGGAGTTTTCTGTTATTGTTGATCATAAGAAAAGGAAAAAATTTCATGTAAATTTTGACTTGGCAACATATGAGTCAAGTTGTACTTGTAGAATGTTTGAGAGTCAAGGTGTTTTATGTAGACACATTTTGTTTGTTATGAAAGGCAAGTGTATACGAGAAATTCCTGATGCTTATATCTTGAATCGTTGGAGAAAAGATGTTCTGAAGAAAGCTTCTGTCATAGATGTTGCTCTGGATGATGCTTCTAAGTATGATAAGAAGAAGCAATTGGTCAGTGATGTATGGTCCAAGATTTTCAGTTGTGTGAGTTTAACTGACCAATCTGAGGATGATTTATCTGAGCTTATTATGACATTATCTTCATTTGAGGAGCAGATGATATCAAAGAATAATCCTGAAAATGCACCTAGTTCAAAAGAGGTGAAAGATGCTGATATTCAGGTTTTGGTTGGGTTAAATGAAGTTGATGTAAATGTCTTGCCTCCAAATCAGTGTCTTAATAAGGGTTATGCCAGATTTTCAAAGAGGTTGAAGAGTGCAAAAGAAATAGCTACTGAAGAAAAATCTAAAAAAGGCAGAACTTGTAGAGCTTGTGGGTAATCTGGTGTTTCCCATGACAGTAGAAACTGTCCAAACAAGTAGTCTTTCAGGTATTTAACTCTAAAGTGTGTTCTATATACTTTAAACTTCTATTTATTTACTTTAACGGTAACTTCATTTACTTTTTATTTTGTGCAGGTGTTATTATACTTGGTATTTTTTTATTTGGTATTTTACCTCTTTACCTTTTTTTATTTACTTTAAGTTGTAATTTATTTACTCTACATTCCAATTTTATTTACTTTAATTTGTGACAAATAACTGATGTTTATTTTGTGCAGTTATTTTATTACTTGGAAATTAGAAGATGTTTTGGAAGATCAAGATCAAGATTTAATGAACAAATATTTTTTATTATTTTTATTATTGTAATATTTTTACATTTACTATAAGTAATTGTACTACAGAACTTAAGTTTAGTTTGTTTACCTTTAGCTATTATACTTTAACTTTATGAAATATTTCATTTACTTTTATCATATTTTATATCATATGAATTATTTGATTTATATAATGTTCTTACAAAATTAAAGATAATTTCTTGTATTATTCCCTTTGTCCTAGAATACTTGTTACCATATCCATTTTTTATTCTAAAATACTTGTCACATTTTTCATGGAACCCGAGTTGACAAGAGTATTTGATACCGATTTTGAACAGGAATTGACGTGTAAATGACCCGACCCAAATGTAACCCATATATTATTGACTTGGTGATTTCAACTTGATTATAACCCGTAAAATTATTGACTTGAACCAATTTGACTAAAATTCTTGAATGAGTTAATTTTCCAACCATTAATTATTGACTTTACTTGAATGTAATTTGAACGGTTATCAAACTCACCTAAACTTGTACCAAATCAGATATCGATTTTGAACATGAATTGACGTGTAAATGACCCAACCCAAATTTAACCCATATATTATTGACTTGGTGATTTCAACTTGATTATAACCCGTAAAATTATTGACTTTAACCAAATTTGACTAAAATTCTAGAATGAGTATATTTTCTAACCATTAATTATTGACTTTACTTGAATGTAATTTGACCGGTTGTTAAACTCACCTAAACTTGTAACAAATCTAATAAGATGTAAGGTCGGTTGTAATTCGATCAATATAGGCGGAATGTTAGCGAGGCAAATGAAGTAGGAGACTTGACCCATCCCCAGTTTGTTGTATGATCACATTCGAGTTGGTTAAACACTTTAGGTCAAACACTTCGGATCATGTTCGGGTTGGTTAAACACTTCGGGTCAAACTCTTCGGGTCAAATTTGAGTTGGTCAACTTCGGGTCAGGTGAGTTCGGGTGTTTGGTCAACATAAGGTCAACTCCATTTTCGAGTCGGGTATGGGTTGGGTTGGGTTAATTTTGGGTTTTGTGTATTTTTTGGGTTAATGATTTTGGGTCATGCGTCGAGTCATTCGAGTTGGGTCAATTATTTTTACTTGAATACTTTTATATCCATTTCTCCCTTTACTTTATATCCATTTTCTATTAATTTAACAGTATTTTTTTGTACTTATAACTGAACACCTTATTTCATAAAGTTTTTTTTATAACTTTTTTCCTTTTACTTTTAAACATAGTATTATTTATTTTAACATTTTTTTTTCATTTACTTATAATCGAATAACATTTTTTTGACTTTAATACTTTTTCGCATCTCCACCTCTACTTTTGTTTCATTTTTATTACTTTAAAAGTATTTTTCTCTACTTTAAAATCGAACACCACATTTCAGAAAGATTTTTTTTAAAAACTTTTTTCATTTACTTTAAACACATTGTTATTTACTTTAACACTATTTACATTTACTTTTATATCTTCCATCATTTTTTAGAAAGAACAATCCTAGTAATTTAACTTAGATATATAATATGTATTCTTTTTTTAACACAAACTGGAAATATTATATTAAGTGGATAAAGCCATAGTTTTAATTACATATAGCATCACATAATTTTCACATTTATAATTGATGCTAACCAAAATAAGGCCTAATATCATTTACATCTGTTCTGATTCTTTCTTTTCTTCCCAATCCTCAACATTTGTTAGCAGCTTCTGTTTCATTTGATTTCTTTCATTGAGAAGTAGGTCAAGCACTAATATTATATGATGGTGATTCAGTCTTGCAAATTCCTGTAAAAAAAAATTATAAATAAATTATACTCTAAGTATAGATTAGTTCTAGAGTGTAATGACTTCAAAAATAAGTATGGTAACTTACCTCTGTTATTGTTCCTAATCCTGTGCCATTTGCACCATCATAAACCTTCATATGCAACAGTAGATAGCTTGCTGAGAAATTATCTTCTCTTTCTTTTTGGAATGGAAGTTCAATTATTCTCAGCTTGTAGGTCAGCATATCATTTGCCTGTGGATGCTTCCTTTTTTTAAACAACTTCTGTACTTGTATCGCCTAAATGCAATGAATATTAGTATAATAAAAGATATAGAAAAATGAATTTAAAGATAATTTTAAAATCCATTGATTCTTTATCATTTCTAAGATAAAACTCTGTACATGCTCATATTCTTCATTTGTCTCGTACAAAGTGTTGTCTAGATGATCAATTGTTTCATTTTTGAAGTTTATCACAGCAAGAAAATAATGATCTTCTAACATCAGAGTTATATATACATGCATATAGATATGTTTTAAACACATTTACTTTAAACCTATTTTTAATTACTGTAAACATATATTGTTCTACTTTAATATTAATTTTGTCTTACACATTGAGCTGCATCCAAGTCTAATGATTGTGAAGTGTTCCAATCAATCCATAGTTTTTGCAGACTTGTTACTCCCTTTTTTCCATGAGCTTTCAAACACATTGTTAAAGCATCCTTCCAAAGAAAAAAATCCAATTATTATTTCTAATATTTATTTGATGCAGAATTCTAAACTATAAAAGCTAATTTGAAAAACTTACCATGAAGTCTGTTGGGGTTTGGTGAGTCCGACTCACCGCGAAAACAACCTCGACCCAAGGAACCACTCGTAATTAATAAAACCATAAAGCATAAATAAATAAACACAAGAAAAGGAAGAATGAATCATATCCTTGAAGCGAGATTCACCCTCTCAAAACAAACTCTTACTTGAAAGCCTTGAGCACCGCAAATGCCGTGCCTCCAACGGTATCCACCCACAAAAGGACAAACACGACTTTTTAGGTCCGCTACCTTGGAGTTAGCAAGGTCCGACCAAAACCCAAGTGTTAATGGAGTTTAAGAGTTTTTTCCAAAATATGGAATGCTCTTTCTAACTTCCACTCAAACACTTTACTCCAAATCCCAAGGTTGGTATTTATAGAGGAAAGTATGAGTGGGAATTTCTATCCCATCAATGTGGGATCATGAAATTCCACAAATTAATTTAAATCTAAATTAAATTAAAATTGCAAACTAATAATAAATCTACAAGTGGCATTGCCATGTGAAATGGGTTGGTGAGGACCACATGGAGAGTAGGGGACCATACTTGCTCCCCACTCAATACTCTCCTTGTGCCACATGTCCTTACGCACTTGCTCCCATATTCCTCAAGCTTCCCCATAGTGACCGGCCCTATGGCCTAGCCACGAGCCCAGCCCGATCCCAGCCCCGCACCAAGATGCGGGCTGCTGCTGTGCACGCAAGCCACGCACTTGGTGCGGGCTTGCTGCTGAGCGTGGCTGCTAGAACGCCTAGCTTGCGGCAGCTAGCTGCTGCACGCACCACGTGCACGCGGCTGCTAGCTGCTGCTGTGCGTGGCTGCTAGCACGGTGCGCTAGCACGCACCTAGCCAGCCATGCTAGGCTCGGCTTGGTGCGCTTGCTAGCCACCTATGCTTGGACATTTTTTCCCCTAGCATTCGGATGCTCGGAGCACTCCGATGCTAGGGGTATTTTGGGAATATGGTCGATTTATTATTATTTTGCGCGTCTCGTCTTTTTATTATTTTTGACTCGACTTCCGATGATCGGTTTCGACGCTCCAAGCTCGAATTACCGGCGTCTAAATTTTTAACACTCGGACGACGAATTAATTTCTTCCGAATTAATTCGTCGAGTCGGTTCGTATATTTTGCTTGGGTGTGACCCGAAGGGTTCAGTCAAGATTAAGCTGTAATATTAATTATATTAATATTACTGATCGGAAGCGGCCTCCACCCAGGCATTTCGATCACTTGACCTTACTGAATATATTAGCTTTCTAATAATTATGAGCCCGCTATCAGAATAATACACTTGTTTGAAAGACACCATTCCTTTCAAATTCAAATCCAAAAAAGTATCTGATCAAGTCATTTTCATACCTATCTTTTTCCATTTCAATGTTATTCAGGTGGTTTGACCAAGCAGTGATCACATTACTTGAAACTTTCCATTTAGTGAGCAAAGCGTTACAATCTTGCCTTACTATTTCAATTGAATCTATAAACCAGCCAACTACTCTGCTATATTGTAGAGTTAAAGTTAAAGTTAAACTTATGTCAAACAATATTATATATAATGCAATATGATTATTTGTTTTTTAGGAAGTCTAAAACATACCTCTTGTTTGGAAAGTTTTCACCATCATTGATTGCTAAGTAGTCAATCACTTGGTAACATTGCAAACTCATGTTATCCATTACTTCCTTGTGTTTCTTCAAGAAATCAGAAACACAAATCATATCTTCTACCCCTTTCTCCTTCTCTAGTTTTCCAACTACCCTGAACCTTTAAATTTTTCTCTGAAGTTGTTTTCTTTTGGTGTTTATGTCTGCCAAAGCAAGAGTAGCACATATTTTTGCACGATACACCTTTCTCCTATTTGCTAAATCAAGGTCAGAATTAAAAGTCTCTCTAGAAAAACACTGCACACATGGATCATTGCAAAAACACCACAATCAAGAGTATATCTTGGTGTCTTCCACTTGAAGTTAAATTCATCAAACTCATATTCAAGAATTTCATCAGCTTTTTCATGATTAATTCTCTACAGAAAGTTTGACA